CGCCTGCGTTCCAGGGAGTACAGGTTCAGGAAATTCAAGTGCTCCCAGTAATTGAGGTGTTTTATCTCCGTTATGCGCACCGTGAAGGTTCTCTGTACATTTTCTAGTTCAGCAATTTCACCCGCCTTGAAAGGTGCTGTTAGTGTGCAGCAATATTCCCGCCTAGATAGAACAAGTAACCTGAAGAGTGTCATCATGGGCTTGGCCTCCCTAGTTTTGAAGGTTCTCATTATCCATCCTGTCATTTTTCTAGCAGATGCGATTGATACAATGTTATGGTCCTTGAAGGTGAGATCCTCCGACATGATCACTCTCAGGTCTTTGACGTTGGTTTTTCGCTCTATTGTGTGGCCAGAATTTGTTTTGTACTCTGATGAAGTTTTAATTTCCTCATGTTTACCATATCGGAGTAATTGAAATTTCTCATCGTTGAACTTTATATTGTTTTCTGCAGCCCACTGAAAGATTTGACTAATGTCCGCCTGGAGCCTTGCAGTGTCTTCAATGGAAGACACTGTCATGCAGATTCGGGTGTCATCTGCAAAGGAAGACATGGTGCTGAGGCTGACATCCTTGTCTATGTCAGATACGAGGATGAGAGAGAAGATGGGATCGAGTACTGTGCCTTGTGGAACAGAGCTTTTCACCGTAGCCGCCTCAGACTTTACTCTGTTGACTACTACTCTTTGTGTTCTGTTTGTGAGGAAATTATAGATCCATCTACCAACTTTTCCTGCTATTCCTTTAGCACGCATTTTGTGCGCTATTACGCCATGGTCACATTTGTCGAAGGCTTTTGCAAAGTCTGTATATATTACATCTGCATTCTTTTTGTCTTCTAGTGCATCTAGGACCTTGTCGTAGTGATCCAGTAGCTGAGACAGACAGGAGCGACCTGCTCTAAACTCATGTTGCCCTGGGTTGTGTAATTGATGGGTTTCTAGATGGGTGGCGATCTTGCTTCTTAGGACCCTTTCAAAGATTTTTATGATGTGGGATGTTAGTGCTATCGGTGTGTAGTTCTTTGCTATTGCTTTACTGCCCCCTTTGTGGAGTGGGGCTATATCTGTTGTTTTTAGTAATTGTGGGACGACCCCCGTGTCCATGCTCCCTCTCCATAGGATGGTAAAAGCTCGTGATAGGGGCTTCTTGCAGTTCTTGGTAAACACGGAGTTCCATGAGTCTGGCCCTGGGGCAGAGTGCATGGGCATGTCATTTATCGCATGTTCGAAGTCATTTGGCGTCAGGATAATATCAGATAGGCTTGTGTTAACCAAATTCTGTGGCTCTCTCATAAAAAAATAATTTTAATCTTCGACTCTCAGTCTGGTTAGCGCCTTGCTAAAAACTGAGCCATATTGGGACTTGAGTAGCTCACTCATTTCCTTTCTGTCATCTGTGTAGGACCCATCTTGTTTAAGTTGGGGCCCAATACTGGATGTTGTTCTCGACATTGATTTGGCATAAGAAAAGAAATACTTAGGGTTTTTTTCGATTTAATTTTGGCTTTTGTTCTTCCGCGTTTTGACTCCTGAAAGTTTCCCTTTAGCTTAAGTTCGATTTTTTCTATTTCTTTTACCAGTGACTCCCTACGCTTTCAGATATATTAAACTTTTTGCCGCTCTTTTATTTTTTCGTCCCCTTTAAAGGGAGCCCTGTCTCTTTCTATTTTCATCTCCCCCCTTTTTCTTAAAAGGGAAAATAAGCCTTGAGCATAGATCGAGTCCCACCGGTTAATTGTTCTAGGCAAAAATTAGGGTCTTTTTTGGCTTAGTCTTTTTTCCAGCTTTATCTTTAGGATTTGTTTTATTGGTCCTCTTTATGTTCTTTTATTAAAGGGTATTGAAGTTTTTTTGTTTTTTTGTGGTCTGGGGCCCCGCGCAAAATGTCTAAACCCTCATTATTTGGATCCGAGTATATTGTTTTTGTAGGTGATTTTTCGAATCAGATCTTTATTTTAGTGAAGATGAGGTTAGGTATTCTCCGGTTAGAGGCTTATTTTTGCGGGTTTTAAAATTGAATTTTGTGCAGAGATTTAAAAGTCTTGTGTGGAGTTTCGCAGAGCTGCCTCCTGGTGTTATACTGCAACACATTATTTGTATACCCCTCCATTTTGGTCCCTCAAGTTGAAACCCCCCGGAGCAAGATGTTTGGGGCAGGAGCTGGAATTTTTCCCGGACAGTGGTCAATTTTTGACAGCTTTTCCCTGGAATTGGGGGAGTTGCACTGGAGGTTTGAAGATACCACAAATGACTAGGTTTTGGTTCCGATTTTTACTGCTAAAACTTCCCACTACATCATTTGAGGCATTAAGCAGTTCTGTGCAAACAAGTGACTGCGTAACAGGCCAACCCCCCCCTTTTTGCTGTTCCTCGTACTCTGTATAGGTTGTAACCCTTCCTTTTGTTGTCCCAAGTATCCTTTTGTGGGTCTCTGTGAAAACCGCAAATATTGCATTTGCCCTGCAAAACATCCCGGATGAAAGGTATTTTGTTGTTGTTGCTGGCTTTTAGACCCCTTATTTGCAAAAAAAGTCATCGGCCTGGTGGGATTTGTGGGACTGGGGGGGATTTTCATCCGGGACTAGTTTTGTTTTGTTGCTTTGGAGTGGAGGGATGACTGTGGGTTCCCCCAAAAAACTTTGAATTTTGGAACCCCACAGGGTATGTGCTCATCCCACCCCAAATTTATTATTTCAATTAATGCTTTTCTTAGCCATACCCAGCCGTCCCTCATTTATTAGTTTTGCTGCTGATATAATGATTCCACCACCGGATTCTCCCCAAAACCCAAAAATTTTAACCATGTACTAGCCTCATGCAGGACCTGGGGGTTGATAATCTCTACTGAAAAAACAAAAAAAAATTTTCTCAATGGCGTCCTTTCCGACAGAAGGCACAGTTCCCAGATCCTTTGAATGATGGTTCTTTAGAATAGTAACCCGTACAGGGATTAAGGTTTTGAGGGGGCCCACTCTTGGACCCGTTGTAACGAACTTTGTCGCCAATCAAGAAAACTAAAAAGGCCCTTTGAGTTGTGGGGTTTTCTGTTTAAAATTGTGAAAATGATTATCTTGCTTTTTAGACCATTGGTTGATTATGCTTGGGGCCCCCTACTCTCTCTTGTGTCTGATGGAAAATTTGGGGGCGGAAAAAAGCAGACGAAGAATAAGGATCATTTTAGGATGCCCTGTACTGCCAAAATTTTTAATGTGCGGGAAAAACTTGACATTCCAAGCATCAGAGATCGTGTTACTGAAATAAATCTCCTAATTGGGGTTAATATGCTCAGGCAAGCCCATTCAAACCCCTGGAACCGACCTCTACATGAACCAGATACATGATCTATGTCAAATAACGCAACAGCGACACTTCTCCGCTCCATGGGATATTACCCCATTCCAAACTATCATCCCTCCATTTCCCCTAAAATACTTCTTCAATCACACCCAAAGCTCCGCCTTAAAGCCAAACATGATGCCTTAAGCTGTACTGATAACTTAATCACACAGCACACTCTTACACAAATTACTTATGTCCGTGGTTCTGTTCACCAATCCACTGGTGCAGCTGGTAGTGTTGCTGTTGTCACACAGAGTGATGGCTCTCATAAAGAACTTGGAGCACGCATCAATAACTGGGCCTATACACTTCAAACAGAACTGCTTGTCATACTCCTTGCACTCAAAAGCCTCCACGTATCTAAGGCTGACTAGTTTGTTAAATATTAATTCTTACCTTACCATTATCATTAATCATCTTAATATAATGATATTGAGTTTCTATGTTACTTTGCTTTATTCCTGGTACATATACTTTAAAAAGTTATTAATTACTGAGCTATATACAATATTCCAGTAACCAAAGCTGATGACCCATAAAAGTTCAGTTGCTCAATGAATTAATATTCTGGAAAGAAATTATTTTAAAATCTATGGTTTCGGTTAAGAGGTGGACTCTCCTTACCTCCCTGCCCAAGAACAGTATGTAAGATTAAGATTAAGAGAGTGTAGGCAAGACCCTTGTGGGGTGAGAGACAGAATGTAGATTTGAGGTAAACATTTCCATTGAGGGCAGAGGATCCATCACAATAAAAGTTATACTTTAAGATTTTATTACGCCAAATGGCAACTTAGAGGGAAAATCCTTCAAAGGATGATTAACCTTCATGCAGATTATGGCCTCTTCATCCAAAATACTGAAAATGCCCTTCTTTCAATGAATCGTCCCTGACTGCCATCCATTCCCCCAAGGCTCTGTATGACCACTTCTGGCTAAGCAGTCTTCTCATAAAATAAACAGTGAAAGGACACGGTTATTTACGGTATGTGTGTCTGCCAGCCTCCCTGGACAGCTGATCGAAATACCATGACTGCAAACTCTTTAGTAATAGCTCCTTCAGAACCCAGTAAAATATGAAAATGGTTAAAATATTTAAGAAAAAATGGATACAAACACTGAAAAATATTAATTTTCAAGAAAAACTAAAGGAACCTTTAAATGCCTTTGTTAGTAGTAATGTGAAGAGATGTAATAGCATACAATCTATAGAAAATGATCTGTAATATAGAAAAAGGGTTTTCTTCCTGTCAGCAACAAAAAAGATAAATAGGAAGTAATGTGAAAGGAATAGTGGAAGAGTCCCGGGCCGGGATCCATACCTTCAAGTCAAATAGAATAGAATAGTGGAAAATATTCCGTCACAGTATGGTCGATGGTTAGAGCGAAAGCAGAAAAGAAATAGAGTACTGTGAGCAACGAGAATAAAAAAAAAATATGAAATGGTCATTATATAACAGATGATGAAACATGATGAACGTATTGTTTCTGAAAATTCAGGTAAATTATTATGCACACACAGCTGCACAAACTCTGATGGCCAGTGAACTGACGCATAAGAATATATATATATATATTTTATATATATATAATATATATTTTATTATATTATATATATACATACATACAGAGAGAGACAGACAGACCGAGATAGTGACTCACTCTGGATGACGGTGACAACAACAGAGGCTGGGGCAGCATTGGAGGGGAGACATGTATAGTTACCCTCGTCTCTCCGTGACACTGAAGAAACATACAACTTGGATGACTTACGAGAGTTGTCCACCGTCACTCCTTGTTCCCTGCAACACACATAACCAGTGAGAGAAATGCAAATATCAGAACAGTAAGAAATGTAAGGGACATGAAGAGTATTATGCCGAATTGGTAAAATTTGTGATTTGGCTTAAATAGCAACCGCCTTCTTGCCGAATAAGGCAAGCGAAAATTTGTGTTTGCAATAATTTCGCAAAAATCATTCTGAATCTAACGAAAAAATATATTTCATTGTGCTTACGTATTATTAAATTATTGTAAACTTATCTAAATTATATGTAGTTGGAATAGGATAAATTAAATTGCGCTTGTTATAAAAAGGTTAGGTACGTTTTCTAAGGTTATTTTGGTACAAAATTATTCATTTTTACATTACTTGAAATGAAAAAAAAATGTATCTTTAAACGTACATGTGTAAATTTAAGAAAGGATTTAAATTTTAACTGAGTTTTTTGAAAAATGCCCAGTTTTCCCTACCCGGCACGACATTATTTTAAAAATATATATATATATTTTAAAATTTTTTATATATATATATATTATATAGATATATTTATATATATATTTATAAAAATTTTATATAAAATAAATGGGGAAGTACAATCCTGCACTTTAAAGGGGGGTTTTTGGGGATTTGGCAGTTTGGGGGGGTATGTTGTCTTTTTTGGGGTATGTTCGGATTTGTTGTTTTCGACCCCTCTGAAAAAAAAACTTTTGATAATGTGCGGTTGGTGAAAGTGTTGAAGGGATGATAAAAGTATTTTTTTTTTTTGGGGATTTTTTTTTCTTTTTTTTTTGGGTCACCCTGCCTGGGGGGAAAAGGCCCCATTTGTTGGAAAAAAAAAAAAAAAAAAATTATATATTTTATATATATAAAACGGGAAAAAAAGTCATAAATGCTTGGTAAATATTTTAAAATATATATTTTATATTTTATATATTATTATATATATTTATATATATATTTTATATAATATATTTAATATTTTTATATTTATTCTTTCTTTCAACCACCGGCCTTTTACCCCACCAAGGCGGGGGGGCCCCAAAAAGGGAAAAAACAAAAAGTTTTGTCTTTACTTTTAGAAATTTATACAGGAGAAGGGGTTACTACCCCCTTGTCCTGGTTTTTTTGAAAGCCCCCTTATAGACGCATGGCTTAGGGGGAAAAATTCTTTTCCCCTTTTTCCCCAGGGAAAGATATATAAAATACATATAATAAAATATTTTATATATTATATATTTATATATATTTAAAATTTATTATATATATATAATATATATATATTTATATATAAGTAGTAAAAAATTTCCAAAGGGGGGGGGTCCCTTCCGGTTTAAAGGCCCTTCCCACTAAAGCGGCCCCTTTCCCGGTTTTGGGGCCTTCTACAGAGGGGGCCCCTTTCCCGGTTTGGGCCTTCCACTGAGCGGCCCCTTGGGTTTTAACCTTTTCCACTGAGCGGTCCCCTTTTCACACCTAGGTTTTTACTTCCTTTTTGACCTTGTTTTGCCCTCCCCCTCGGGGCTACCCTCCCCCTTTTGCCCCCCCCAACCAATACCCCCCCCCACGACCCCCCCCCGACCCCCCCCACGCCCCCCCGCCCACGCCCCACCCCCGCGCCCGCCCGCCCCCTTTTCGCGACCCCTGCCCCGCCCCCGGGCCCGCGCCCCCGCCCGCCCCCTTCGGGGACCCCCTCCCGCGCCTTCTGCTGCGCCTTTGCAGCTTTCATCCGGATCCCCCCCCGCGCCCCAAATTTTCTTTTTCTTTTGATCCCCTTGGAATAAAAATTTTTAAGGTTCCCCCTCCCACTTTCACCCCCTTTCCCAAAAAATTTCTCAATATCAAAGTCCCCATTTCCTGGACCCCCCTCCCACTTTCCCCCCCCCAAACCCCCAAAAAATTTCCCGATAATCCCATGACTCCATCTCCTCGGATCAATTTTTTTGGTTTCCCCCCCTATGGGGTTTTTCGAAATTTCCATCCCTTTGGCCCCCCTCCGACTTTCCCCCCCAAACCCCCAAAAAAATTTCTCAAACCAAAAACAATTTTTTTGGATTCCCCCCCCCGGGGTTTTTTTCCCGGAAATTCTTATGATCTCCTCGGATAAAATTTTTTTGGATCCCCCCTAGGGGGTTTTTGGGAAATTCCCCTTCCCGGGGAATAAAGGGTTTTTTGGATTGCCCCTTCCTTTTCCACCCCACCCCCCAACCCAAAAAAATTTCCGAAAAATTCCCAAAGGGTTTTTTGGTTTCCCCCCCTATGGGGTTTTCGAAATTCTTATGATCTCCTTGGATAAATTTTTTGGATCCCCCTAGGGGTTTTCGAAATTTCCAATTCCTCGGATCAATTTTTTGGAACCCCCCCTCGGGGGGGTAACATGCTTATACAGGTCTAATGAAGGGTTTTTTACCCCGGCGGTAAAGTTTTCCCTTTCTTTAAATTTTTAAATGAACAAAAAAAGGGCCCACACTTTACAAGCTAAATCTTGTGACCCTTTTGGGTTCATTAAAGTTAATAAGGGGACTTTAGTAGTGACGTCACGTGATGCCCGCGCACACGGGCTGAATCTTGTCGATCCTTTTAGTTCTTTAAAAGTTAAAAAGGGGACACATTTTACATCAGAAAGTCACATTTTTTCTTTAAAATACCCCAATTTTTTTACAACACAAGTTTTGGGACTTTTTTTTTAAACTTTTTTCATCTCAGGTCACTCCCAGGGAAAAAGTAACCTCCTCCCCACCCCCCCAAACCCTCACCTCCAACCAAACCTCCCAATTTTTCATCAAAACCCCCCAATTTTTTTTCTCGTTTTAACCCTTTTGGGTTCATTAAAGTCAAAATGGGAAAACTTCCCTTAAAGAAAGTCCCAACTCGTTTACATCCCTTTCGTTAAATTCACTCTCAAAAATTTTAAACCATTTTACAAAGTTAAAATAGGGCACTTTTATTTGAACATTTAAAAAACCACTCTCATAAATCATTTAATATAAAAAAAATTCCTTTATACTTTTCCAAACAACACTGAAATACCCCAAAAAAACACATTCGAACACCCCAAATACCTCAAATACTCCCAAAAACCCCTTTCATAAGTACTTTTGCACATCATTTGAACACCTTCAAAAGAAACTTCATAATCATTTTTTACCCCTTAAAAAAAACCCCTTTTAAAAAAACTTTAAACACCCTTAAAACCCCTTCAAAACCCCCTTCAAAGCACTCTTTTAATCTTTTGAAACCCCCTCAAAACACCTTTGAAAAACCCTCAAAACCCCCTTTTTTGAATAACCTCAAAACCCCTTTAAAACCCCTTTTAAAAACCCCCTTGAACACCATAAAAAACCCCTTAAAACACCTTAAAAACAACATTTTGAACACACCAAAACACCTTTAAAACACCTTTAAAACCTTTCCAAAACATTTTTTGGGGTTACCCCCAAATAAGATTTGCCTTAATTTATCTGCACTTAAATTTCTTTAAAATTTTTCAATCTTCCCTCAGTCTCCAGACTAGGCTTTTTCTCTTTTTTACCCTTTTTATTTCCCTTAAAGTTATTAAGGGGACAAAATTTACTTCAGAAAAAAAGTAAAAAAAAACTAACTCAAACACTTTATTTTAAAACACCCCAAAAAAAACACTCTCATAATCTTTTGGAATACCCCAATAAAAAAACCCTTGAACCCCTTTCAAAAAAAAACCTTTGAATATCTTTTTTAAAACCCTAATTTCATCACAACCCACTTATATCTTTTTTTTTCGGTAACTCTAATTCGATACATTTCCCCTATCAATTCCCAAAACCAAAATTTTACTCGTTTTAACAAAGGGTCATAACTGAAACCCAAGATTTTCAAAAAAAAAAAATTTCTATGCCCAAACCCACACACGCACACACACCCCAACCCCCAAAGTTTTTCTTTTTTAAACCCCTTTTTAGTTCTTTAAAAGTTTTTAAGGGGCCCACAGTACATCGGAAATTAAACAACAACAACATCCAAAACCCCACAATTTTTTCTCGTTTTAGCTAATTTCATCAAAAAAAAGTCCCAAAACATCCCATTTATAATATCTTTTTTCGGTATTTTTGTTCGACAACAACCCCCACAGCACCCACATCCAAAAACCCCCAAATAAAATTTCCCAAAAAAACACTATTTGAGTACCCCCAAATTTACACACTGTTTAAATACTAAAACCCCCTGAATTAATCAAAAACCCTTCAACCCCCTTTTAAACCCCCTTGAACACCTTAAAAAACCACTTTTGAACATTTTCCCAAAAACCCCCTTTAAACTTTTCCCAATCAACACTGAAACATTTCCCAAAAAACCAATTTAAATGTACTCCCAATTACACCACTGAAAAATACTAAAACACCTGAATTAAATTTAAAACCCCCTTAAAACACCTTAAAAAACCCCTTTGGGAAACACTAAAAAACCCCTTTGAAAAACCTCAAAAAACCTTTGAACACCTTAAAAAACACCCTTTTAAAAACACCTTAAAAAAACCACCTTAAAAGACTCTCATAATCATTTAAACCCACACCCCAAAACCCCTTTTTTAAACCCACCCTTTGAACATTTCCCAAAAAAAAAAAAAAAAACAAAATTTTGGGTTTAATTTCCCTTTTTAAACACCACTGAATACTACTAAAAAAACCGCTGAATTCAATAAACACCCTTTTAAACCCCTTTAAAAAACCCCTTTGAAAACCTTCAAAACCTCTTGAACCCCTTTCCCAAAAACCCCTTTTAAAATTTTTTCCCAAAAACCCCCACTATTTGGTATCCCAATTACCCCAAATGTTTACTACTAAAACACCGCTAAATTCAATAAAAAACACCCTTCAACACCTTAAAAACACCCTTGAACACCTTAAAAAACACTCTTAAAACATTTTCCCAAAAAACACCTTTGAACTTTTTCCAATAACACTGAAAAAAACTTCCAAAAAAAAAAAAATTTGGTACCCCCAATTACACCATGAATACTACTAAAAAAAAAAACCCCTTTAAAATTAA